CTACTAATACCAATTTTCAGACAAATCCGTGAAAAAATGTGGCAAAAATCATCAGATTACCGAATGTCGGGAGGTACCGTTATATGAGGGCTATACCAAAACGTGGACCTATAATTACAATGACTCGCTACACGAACTGGAACTCATTATGATCTACAACTACCAATTTTCAGAGAAATTCTTGAAAAAATGTATCAAAAATCATCAAAATACTGAATATTGGGAGGTACCGTTATATGGGGACTATATCAAAACGTGGACCTATACATGCAATGTTTCTCCACCGGAGCTGGAACCCATTATGACCAACCAATACCAATTTGTAGACAAATCCGTGAAAAAATGTGGCAAAAAAATTAAAATACCGAATATCAGGAGGTACCTTTATATGGGGGCTATACCAAAACGTGGACCTATACATGCAATGTTTTGCCACACGCACAGGGACCCGTTATGACCTACAAATACCAATTTTCAGACAAATCCGTGAAAAAATGTGTCTTAAATCATCAAAATACCGAATATCGGGAGGAACCGTTATATGGGGACTATACCAGAACGTGGACCGATATATCATTTCAATACCAACCATCCTAGACACAATACAAATTGCTCTGCTAAATTTTGGCGCTCTACGTCAAATAATGTGGGCTGTATCGTGATTTCAACAGACAGACGGACATCGTTAAATCGATTTAGAATTTTATGCTGACTATGAATATATATACTTTATGGGGTCTATGATGAATATTTCCTCCTTTCCAAGGTGGAGGGTATAATTAACAGACAGAGCTGTATTTTTTACCAATTCGCTTCCTGACCGACCTTACATAGGCCTTGATTCAAGCTTATGAAAAATTCAAAACAGAAGGAAAACAAAATACATACACGTCTTTATTTGAAAAAAACTGTAATTCATTTTTAATCAAAATTAAACTATTTTCATCAATGAAACAATGAGAAACTGCGTGGTATGTAAAAAACTGATGGGGAGTCAAAATGATACTGGAAATACCACAAAAGATGACACAAAAATACCCTGCAATTCCCAGATTTATGACTCAGTTCTTGAAAATTTAGACGAAGAGGAGGAAAAAACGAGATAGATATTTCTAAAGACGATGTTTTAGAGTATATAGCTGGGTACATTATTCGGAAACTTCATCTTAACGAATACTTGGCTGAGGAAAAATCCTCATGGGTCGACCGAATTTCAAGAGGCTGTTTAAGGAAACCGTCTAAATGATTTCTATTGCACATAAAGCAACTTGAACTAATTTTTGAATGCGTAAATGACAGTGGTATCGATCACGAAGAGCAATTGCACCGTCGAATGAACCAACGTATTAATCTTCCTGATAATATCAACAAGTTTTTATTTAATGTCGAATATATTTTCGTGTAATGCGCAGCTAAGAATGCAAAAATCAAAACAAAGAATTTCGAGCCAAAAGAAACTTTTGAAGATTCAACTTTGATTTTCGCGCCACTGCTAATAGTTACCAATAAATTCTATCATTCTTCAATTTTTATTAATTATCCCAATTTTATTATTCAAAACTTAGTTTTAAAGTTAAATACATTTTAAGTATATGAATTTAAAGCATGTTCAAAACAAGGAAATTATAAATTGATATACAAATGCATTGTTGTATAATGGTTAATCTAGTCTAGATTAAATTTAATACAAAAGATTTTTATGTTCTGGTATTAATGGAATACTAATTTTAATAAAATTGTTCAAATTGTGATAAAACTTTGACGGATTTTCTAAATAAGAAGTAAAAAGCTTCAAGTACACTCCAACATAAGCTAAAGAAACATTTTTATATAAAGTATCGGGATTCCGACGAGTTCCACTCTACACTGCATATGCCAGTAAGATCTATATTTTCTATAAAGTGGGTGGAGCGGTTATATTCGGGCCATATGAAAATGGGAATCTATATTGACAATATTGAAACACTTCCGTGGGCAAAATGGACTAGAATCTTCAAAATAACGAATATCGGTTGAACCCATTGTTAACTATATATATCAAATGTTACAAAAATACAAACTTTTAGACAAATCCGTGGAAAAACGTGGCTAAAACCATCAAAATGTTGAAATATAAACCGATATATCCCGAAACGTAAAACGATATATCCCATTTTCAATAAAAAACCATCCTACACACAATACACACACTTGTGAAAAAGTTCATATTGTGATTTCAACAGAAAGGCGGACATCGCTAAATCGACTTAGAGTTTTATGCTGATATCAAATATACTTATATACTTCATGTGTTCTACGACGGATATTATGAGGTGTTACAAACGGAATGACATCTTTAATTTTCCCCTTTTCTATGGAGGAGAGGTACAAATCGGTCACTATGGCTGTAATGATATGCAAGTGCATTAATCCATCAATTTTTAGGAAATAACAAAAGGTCTCACAATATTTTTCTGTTGATAGGAATTCGATGCAGCAGGAGATGTTCTAAGTGCCGGCCGGGCAGAGTCGCACTTTTTTTCTCTCTCTAATCATATTGTTTCTTCTCCACTTCCATTATTGCGGTAGCCAAAAGTGCAGGGAAAAGTTTGTATGCATGCGGTACATTGTGTATTACACTGTGGACAGGTCAATTGCTAGTATATTTTTTTTTTGTTTCTTTGTATCAATTTCTATTATATTGTAAAATCTACTGAAACTATCAAAAAGTAAATAAACAAAAGTTGAAGTTTCATGTCACCGTAAATTATTTTGACAGAAAGCGGGCACAGCTGTAGGAATGTATTTTGGCCGTATTCACGAAGCTGTCATACCTCCTTATTTTACCATGATACCACCTATCAACATTTGACTTTAGAGCAGTTATAATTTGGTTTCCGAGGGAACTAATATAAGAGAGGCATATTCAATTCTGAATCTATGTTCACTAAATTTGACGGAGATATTTTCTTTGCACAATAAACCTGAAATCGGATTAAGGATATATATGGGAGCTGTATCCAAATCTTAGCCGTTCAAGATAGAATATGGCAAAGGTAGTTCCGAGCTCTACAAGATATCTGGTACCAAATATTACTGTTGTCGAATGCATATTACCGTGCCGAAATTTAGGCCATTTGCGCTGATATAAACCATTTGGTGCACAATTAACCCGAAATCGGTTGAAGATATATATGGAAGATATATCCTAATATGAACCGATCTTTATACAATTTGGCTGCGATATTTCTGGACATTCCTGTGCATATTACAGATGTGGGGTACTTAAACACCAAATCGGATGAAACCTATATATGGTAACTATAGTTATATCTGAACCTATTTTATCCGAATTCGATGTACTTGCTTCTAGATTGAATTCGGTGGGATGTGTCAAAATTCAGGACATTTGGACTAATATTGGCCTTTGGTGCCCAATTAACCCAAAATCGGTTGAAGATATATGTGGGAGCTATATCCAAATCTGAACCGATTTCTATAATTTAATGTACCTGCTTCTAGACTATATTCGGTCGGATGTGCCAAAATCCAGGTCATTTGGACTTATATTGGTCATTTGGTGCACAATGAACCCGAAATCGTTTGAAGATATATGGGAGCTATATCTAAATCTGATCCGATGATCACCAATTCAATAGAGTTCGTTATTGATCATCTCAATCGGATAATAAATTCGACCTGCATTTTGTTCACAAGACGGACGGACCGACATGCGTAAATCAACCCAGAAAGTGGTTCTATGAATATCCTCAAAAGTAACTATGGGTCTGTCTCGCTTCCTTCTCCATGTTACAAACAAATGCACAGAGAAATAATATCCTTAACACCATGTGGTGTAGGGTATAAAGACCAAATACCCCTTGCCGACTTGCTTAAGGGTTAACCCATGGCACTATTACAGAAGGCAGAACAAAGCTACCCCCTAAAAACAATTTTTTTCTTTTGGTGCCCTTATACTGTATATCCTACTATTTTAGATTCAATCTTATGGAACAACTCCAAATTCCATTGTTGTTTCGCGGGGTTTTCCACCAATTTTAAGAATTTTGTTAAAAAAAAATGAAAAATAAACCAGACAAACTATCGCATATTTAATAGTCTAGTTGGCACTATAAGACTCCAGCACAGAGTCGAATTTTTCTTGTTTCTTTGAAGTTGAGCAACCTTTCTTATTGAGCCATGGATGTTACGAGTTGCAACAAAAATGTTCCGAATTACTTATGAAAAGGGTGTAGTTAATTTTAAGACCCAGTAATTTGGGGCACACAGATGTTTAGTCCGAAACTCTCGCGTTGAAACCGCTAAGCTGAAGCTTTGTAGGAAAATGTTGCATAAACTCACATATGTTACGTCTTTAACCCTAAAATGTGTTTAAAATATATATGAGTTCCTGGCGTTTAGATAAGATTTATGTCTTCTAGGACCTATAGTGGAATTTTATTACAAATAAATTCGCAGAATATTTTGACTTGATACGATCACGTTTAAAACTAGTTTTTAACAATATTTAAAAGACCAAATATCCCTTTGGCGGCTTGCTTGAGGGTTAAACAAACACTATGCCAAAATACACGGATTCCAAGGAATTTTAATCCGAAAATTTAAAAAATATGGAAGAGGGTGGAACTTGTCCCCTCTATTTAGGTTACTTTGCAATGTAAACTTTCAAGACGTCAATATACTTGACTTTTATTTTAGCTAGCTCTCAAATTTAAAGTTGTGCCAGAGTTTGACCAACTGTTGCAATTACAACGAACACGTTATGTTGACTTTTTTAAGACCTCAAAAATACATAACAGAGGGAAGAATATATGCATTTTTCATAAGTGCAGTTCTAAGATTTAGCAGTGCGCTAAAGTAATTTCCAAATACTCGTTCCTCTGGTTATCTTCTTATCCGAACACATACGAATCTGCACCCACGATGAACTGTTCTATTTCAGCTAACATAGAATCTTGACACTAATTGGTCCATTCGAAATAAATAAAAGTAAATACAAATAAGATGCACGTATTTTGATTTTATTTAAATATTTTAGTTTTGACACGTAATTCAAACATCTACATTCATCATAATTTTTGCGTATAAGGGAATATCGAAATGTCTTCTTGTTATGGACTTTTAATTCAAAATTGATTGGTTATTATTCAAAAGGATGTCTTTAAATAGTTTGTGCTTGTGACAGTTTGCCACATTCTACTGACATATTAAGTAAGTATAATTATAATATGCTCCTTCAACTTGTTCACATTTAATGTTAATATCATTTCTTTAGGGCGAATTCGAAGAGGCTATTACATGAAGTTGCCACTCATATGGTGTCTACCTTCGGTCAATTTTCAGTCGTTTTGTCTATTAACGAATACAAATTACTCATTACAAGCTTCGGCATATAAAACTTTACAAAATATTGTTAAATATTTTTAACTAAAAATAAACACTTCATGTTGGTTGCAACGGCATTTTGGATGCATATTACCTTTAAAATAGGCATTCGATTGAGTAAAATTCATCTATTCGTGCAACGTTGTCCTAAAATAATTACTAACGAAAACTATAATAAAATAAATACATTATTGATGTAAAAGCTAACTAAAAATAGAATAACAAAAGTATTGTCATTTCAACAACAAAACTATTAAATTTTTGTTCTATGTACTATATTAGCAAAGTTGTAATGGCAATAGGACTGAAGAAGGTAGTTGCAAGAGCAACATCTTGATGAAAGCCTTAGCGTTGCGTTGAATGTATTTGTAGAGAGGCCATCGTCACCTGGAATGGCCGTGTCCGGCTGCGTGTCCCTTTCCCTGCTTTTGATGTGGCTGTGCCACTTGAGAAGCACTGGAATGACTAGATGAATTACCAGCAGCTGCCGATGATGACGTTGATGGAATGTGATTGTGTTCGAAGCGTTCGCGATCCCGTTGCGATTGATGATGGTGATGGTGGTGATTATGATGACGCCTGCCACCTCTAAAATGCCTCCGTCCATGATGATAATTATTATTGGTAGGATCATCTCGTTGAGTTTGCTGAACAACAGGGGCAAAGTTGGTTTTAATATTAGTTCCATTGGATTCCTGCAAAACATAAACCAATAGAAAATATAAGCAAATAAGTCATTATATTTGAATTGAAAAAATATCAAGAATGTTCGATATTATGCGGCTGAGTAGAAATTCGAAGCTAGAAATCAAATCAAAATAATATTTTTTCCATTCCAAATGTGTATAAAATACATACGTGAAAACCTTAAGAATCTCCAAAGTCGGTCTTAACCCCTTAATATGGGAGGACTCTACTTAAAGTTGTCCTTTATTAAACATTTACTTTTGCAAGGAGAGATTTGATCTGAGAACCGTAATTCATTTGAAAATTTTGACTGCATAAAAAAGATTTTTAATATTTTGTTTGGTGATTGTACGATAAGTTGAAATAGCCGTGATTTTTTCATAGACTATCATGTTCATAAACACTCCATAACTCTGCCTAATAAATGTGCCTGTCACCCACAATTTTAACGTTGACAAGTTATTTTTATTTATTTAACGTACTCGGTCGACGTTTTCCACATAGAACAATGTACTTATATGAATGTTGCCGAAATACGTCGGGTGTGCGATTGAATAATTTATTTTTTTGTGTGTTGAAAATAGAAACGAATAATAGAAAAAATGTGAATGTTTTGTAATTGGAATATATAACAATTGGGCGAATTTAAAATATTTTACAACGTTTTTAGTTGGTAGGCTTTAAGACATGGAAAATAAATTAATATCTTCTAAAAATCTTCGCTGTGTGATGTAAAGTTATGAACCTTGCGTTGATGTAAAGATATGAACCTTGCGTATTTGAATAATATTTCCCACATGCATTATACCCTTATTTAAATCTGGGTCTAAAAGTGATGTTCTAACTACAGAGGTATAGCAAAGCTAAGTGCTATACCAAACCTCTTTAAGAAAATTCTTAGTGATACGCTGTCCTTCCAAGTCCCCTCTATACTATCAAAATTTTTAATGGTTTTGGAAAAAAAGCTCAACTATTACAAATGTTTTAGAACTACCAACAATTGTAAACGATGGTTTTAGAAATTAAATGCAACCAGACACTGTCTACACGGATTTCAGTAAAACATTTGACAAAGTTAATCATAATCTGCTACTTCTGAAACTTGACAAGATGGATTTCAGTGAATGTCTGTTGAAATGGATAAAGACTTATTTATCAGGAAGAACGCAAAAGGTAGAATTAAGCAATGCTACTTCAAATCCTACTAAGTTTAGGTCAACATATATCAGTTATGGTGAATAAAGCTAATTGTGCGGTTTATGAAGAAATGGAGAAAGGAGTTTTCAGACCTCCTAGTCACAAAATAGCTATATATATATTCTCTGTTCGGAGTTCATATTAATGATTTTATCGTTTGCTAATGCTGACTGCAAAATATTTCGTAGTTTTGATGCCAATTGTGTAAACAATTGGACTCAAATAAATATAATTCCAAAAGAAATTTTGGACCACTAATAAAAGGTTATATCTAATTCTAACAGACCATCTCTAAGTGTCCCAATTAATGTGGAAGCGGTCACATCTTAATTTGGAGTAATTTGAGGTGAAGGATATATATCCTGATCATCTGATACTCGAATATTTAACCCGAAAATTTGAACGTAGTTATCATAAAAGAGTTTTGAAAATAACTACCCAACAAATAGTTTTTTAAGACTTGATATTTTTTATATGCTCGGCCTTCGGAAGGGTCTTGAGATTTTCAACTCTGGCGTATGCCCAAAACCGGCTACGCAATTCATGGTTTTACTCGCCTTAGTCATTTTTAAGGAGCCAGCTATTTTTCACAAATGAAAAATGTAATACTAATATCTGCTTTAGATTTTTTCATTTATTTACATTCGATACAAAGAAAGCCACTGAAGGCCAATTATACATGTATTGGAAGATTAACTTAAAGATAGTGCTAAACTATGATAGAATAGACAAATTAAAAAAATTAACAGTAATAAGAATGAGAATGGCCCCCGGCCATATGAATATTGTAAAATTAAAAAAAGTTAGGGATCCCAAAAAAAAAGTTAATGTTATGCATCATTTTCAACATTGAAATGCTATTTCTATAACTTCTTATATGTGGAGTAAAAATAGCCGAATTTTCTCAGCGAACTTGGAAAACAGTTCCAGACTCGGTAAACATTAACTAGGAAGGAGTCTTCAAAAGTAGAAGTTCGTACTAATGGAGTATCAATTTGTATGTTACGTGTAGAATGTATAAATGTAAACTCTTGAACCAACACTTGGGGTTGTTGGGTTCTAACTATCTTGTAATAATGAAGAACTGTACGCAGATTAATGTAATCCCTACAATTGCAAACTAGATTTTTTTTCGTTCGTTCCCACGCCTCTCACTCCCACCCCTGCCGACCGAGGGGGCGACCTCCCCATACGTAGGGAATGGTGGGTTAGTTGTGAGTTAGTGGTGCCAGCTACAGTCTAGTACATCAGCCGGCAAAGTAATAGGTAAAAATACACTATAGAGAAAGGAATTAGAGCAAAACATATAACATTTATAACAAATATAACAAATATAAACAAATAACAGTGAAAATAATGTGTTAAACAAAGACTACTGTTCAAAGACTGGTGTCTATTGTTTCCGCAGAGGGAATTGTAGACTAGGTGCCGTTAAAATGAACTTAAAGATTCTGACAACTAGTGCTCAAAGGCTGGGTCTACTGGTTCCGCAAAGGGAGATGTAGATCAGGTGCCGCAAAAATGAACTTTTTAAAATAAAAAAAAATGGTAAGTGAACATATACAATCACATGTGGAGAATAGATCTTTTAATAGAGTTCAACGAATTACTTAAACAAATACTATTTCATAGACTATTGTAAATTACACATAAGGATCTCAATGGGTTACCGAAATTAGTTCTTGCGAGAGATAACTTTAAAGGTTCAAATGACGAGTTCTACGAGAAGGAATATTATAAGTAACTTCCCCAGTTAAAAAATGAGAATCAATCAAACCGCGTGTTAATTTGATAATAAATAACGCTCTTAGCATAAACCGCCTCCTTTCAAGTGTTGGGAGATCAATTAACAGTAAACGATTTTCATAAGGTGGAAGTAATTCTGTCGGGTTCCAGTTAAGGCTCCGTAGAGCAAAAATCAGGAATTGAACTTGAACTGATTCGATTTTATCTGAGTAGCATTTATAAAAAGGACTCCACAGAATACATCCGTACTCTAATATTGGGCGAACTAAACTTACAAATAATCTTTTGGTGACATATGGATCATCGAACTCTTTAGACCAGCGTTTTATGAAACCTAGTAAAGACTTGGCTTTATTAACACATGAGTCAATATGTAAATGAAAACGTTGTTTAGGATCTAGAATAACACCGAGGTCAGTAAAGGAATCAACATTTTCTAATTTGTATGCACCAATAAACTGAGATCGTGACAAGGAAAATTTTTTGCATTTCTTAAGATTAAGGGACATACCGTTGGCACTGCACCAGTTCACAAGGGAATGTAAATCGTACTGTAAGAAAGTCGAATCGTCAAGGGAATTTATATGCATGTAAAGCTTCACATCATCAGCATACATTAGTATTTTAGAGAATCGAATGTGATCCGGGAGATCATTAAGATACAAAACAAAAAGTAAAGGGCCCAAATGACTACCCTGAGGTACGCCAGAAGAAACAACAATATTTTTTGAAAATGAATCATTGAAAATGACTTTTTGGGTACGACCCTCCAAGTATGATGAAATCCAGCCTAACAGAGCTGTCGGAAAACCCCTAGTATCGAGTTTATATAGCAAAAGCTTATGCACTACGGTATCAAAGACTTTACTGAAGTCTGTATAAATAGCGTCAGTTTGTTGTTTATTTATAAATCCGTTGTGAACATGGCACACAAATTCTAAAAGATTAGAAGTAGTAGATCTGCCTTTCATAAAACCATGCTGAAAAGGTGATAATATGCTTTTTATAAAATGTGACATCCGACGTGAGACTAAGAGTTCGAAAAGTTTAGGAATGGCACTTAACTTAGCAATACATCTATAGTTATCTATGAAACGTCTATTGCCTGATTTATGAAGTGGAATAACAAAACTCGATCTCCAGAAGCTTGGAAAATAACCTATTTTCAAGGAGTAATTAAATATCTTAGTCAATGGTAAGTATAATTCTCTAGCACAAGATTTTAAAATATAGGTTGTAACACCGTCAGGGCCAGGGGAAAATGAGGAGCGTAATGTCTTTAAACCATTTAAGACTTCGTGTTAATTGAAGAGCACGTACATGCTCCTGGATACCTATATGAAAAATATATCTAACAATTTTTCGCTCTATTTTTTTCAATCCTATTAAAATTATAAGACCACGTTATAGAAAAACTTTAATGCCATAATTTACAATGGACATTTATAAAGAGTTAGCCAAGCGTATTCTAATATTTAAGGGTGTAAAAGCATTAAGACTATAAAGTCTTCTCAAAGTAAGGCACACTACAGAAGAATACGATTGGAACAACAAAAAAATGTCATCTGCAAAAACGTAAGGATTACATATAAAACTTTGCAATGCTGAAATAATATCATTTAGATAAATAAGAAATAGAATGGGGCCTAAAATCGATCCTTGCGGTACACTAGAAGTCACATTACCAATACAAGAATTAAAACCATTGTAAGATACATACTGTTTACGTTCAACTAGATAGGAATGAATTAATTTACAAGCCGATTTACAAAACATAAACTTGTCTCTAAGTTTATTTAACAAAATGATATGATTGACACGATCAAAAGCTTTGGTAACATCTAATGAGAACAACATACAACTATCGTGATTGTCAATATGCTTTCTCATGGAATTTGTAATAGCTAGTAGGGCAGAAGTCGTGTTGTGGTTTTTACGGAAAGCAAATTGACATGGACTGAAAATTGAGTAACGTTGACAATGATCAAGAATTTGTGTCTTCATAACATTCTCAAGAATTTTAGAAAAAGATGAAAGTACAGAGGTAATCCTATAATTGTCTGACAAATTATGACGACCCTTAGATATAGGGACAAACCGGGCAAGTTTCCAATCAGTTGGGAAGCAGAAAACAGTAAGTTTTGTATTAATAAAATGTAGAACGTATGTTGAAATAATCGGAAATATAATTTCAATAAATGAGATTGGGATCTGATCGTAACCAACTGCATTCGATTTTATAGAATTGATTGCAACAATTAAATCATATTCACTTAAAGCATGAAATGAGAATGACGAATTAGTATTATCAACAAATTCTTCAATGTTAAGTGTGACATCATCCCGGGATGAAAAAAGGTGTATGTTGTATTACTCTCGTTCTGGTGGAAATCATCATAACACGACTGTTAGATAATCATACGTTTTTAGTCATCATATTGCATACATGGGATATAACCCGATTTTTGTATCAGAAGTTTCGGATAAATTAAATATTATCTTTCCCTTGAAAAGCATAGATTATAACAAATAAAAGGACATTAAGTTCAACCGGGACGATACCTTCAACCATTAGGTAAAGAAAGCATTTTGATACAAAATTATTTGACGAAGTACAAGTACCAAATTTCACACAAATTTATTAGAAAATATGGCTTAAATCGTCACCGATTTACCGAATATCCGATAGAACCTTTATATTTGCGCTATAGGAAAACGTGGTCCTATCCGAAAGTGTGTACCTATGTATACCCATAACAAACTACAAATACCAATTTTTAGACAAATTAGGTGGAAATATGTGGCTAAAACTATCAAAATACCGAAAATCGGAAGGTACCGTAATCTAGGGGCTATCTCAAAACGTGGACCGATATATCTCATTTTCAATACCAACCATTATAGACATAAACAAACAACGGTGCCCAATTTTAAAGCTCTAAGTCAAATAATGATATCGTTATTTCAACAGCCAGACGGACGGATGTCGACATAGAATTTCATGCTGATCATGAATAAATATATATACTTTATAGGGTCTACGGCGAATGTTGCAAACGGAGTGACAAAGTTAATATACCGTCCTTTCCAAGGTGGAAGGTATACAAATATTAGGGCTATCCAAGCATAACCGGGCTCGACATAGTTCCAACTCCATATTACATTATAAATGGGTGGGCATTCATATAGCTCCTACAAAAGGAAGTAGCAAGCATCGTTTGAATTTATAATGTATCAATAAAGTACCTGCTATTATGTAAATAATCCTATGACTAATAACCAGCTAATACTGTTATGTACTATTAATCCTACCAATATTAAGTACAAGATAATTTTGTTTTTAATAAATTAGATTCTTGCCACCAGTTAATCGACAAACATCAAAAAATTTTAAACGTCTGGCCAAGTTGTAGGAAGGCTTCGTTTAGGCATTCTCTTTGATTTAAGTACTTTGTAGTGCTTTGGATTTTCTAAAACCTTTACTCACCTTCTGTTGTTGCTCTGCCAATGACGCTGTTTCCGGTGTAGCCGAACCGCTACTACTACCACAACCTCCACCAAGCTCAACGTTAAGGTTGCTGCAACTACTTTCGGAGCTTTCGGCATTTGCTGCCTCTTCTTGCTTGCGTTGCAAACGACGGCGTATATCCTCCTCAGTTTCTATAGATATTACAGCGCCACCTTCAGCCTCTGAATCAATAATTGCACCGCGACTTTTCTGATGCAAGAACAATGAAGACATTCGTTGTTGTAGCTCCCTCAGTTCAGCAGAAGGTTCGAAGTCAGGAGCATTTTCCAATTCAGCCGGAGGCATAGCGCACCGCAGACTGTCACTCTCATCAGTTATATTTTCTCGACATACTGGACAATGCGCTTGGAAGGGCTTGGCAGTTTTTTGTTGCCAAGCAGGAAGCTTGTTATATTCCTCTTGATAGTTGCGCCGCAGTGCGTTTAAATGTCGACCCAAGCAATAACTGTGCAAATAGTGGAAACACTCGGTTCGTGTAAACTCGTCGCCATCACAAAATCCATAGAGACAAATAACGCATTGACCACTTGGAAGGTTGCTTCCAGTCAAGTGCTCCCTCACAACTTCGATCAAATCGAATACTACAGGAAAACCTACGGACTCCTTAAGTTTGCTTTCTATGGCAGCTTTAATTTCTTTTAAACGCAGATCGTCTAACCCTCGGGGTCGCATGAGTTTGTATTCGGGACTTACATCAGGATAACCAGGAGTAGGCAGAACTTGTAAGGTAACGCAGACATATTGCTGATCGGAATCATCACCAACCACTGGAAAAACTGTTGTTTCAATCAAATTTGGAACACTAATAAAGAAAAAAAAAAAACAAAGAACAATGAAGCTTGTATTCCAACTGTGTACTTCTTCCTGTATCTAGAAAATTTCTCTCTTACCCTTCCCCGTCTCTTTGAACGGTTACATCCTCCATTAAAATCGCCTCCAGAGACTCTACCTCGTCAAAAAGCCTAAAACAATTTACAAAAAAAACAGATATTCGCGTTACCTTTTCTTGAAAAATGCACCAATTTCCACAATTTCCACTTACGCATCCATTTTCTTGGTTTTTTTCACGAACCTACCAACCAACTGGATACCGACTTTTTCTCAAGAGCGTGGGAAACCAAAATGAAAAACGTCCCCGGTGAAACGAACATGATAGCCAAAAAGGAATCCTTGATAAAAAATAAACAAAATGCAAAATCGCTGAGTACTCTTTGTTTACGAATGAGTATAATGCATAACACCAAGTCTCTGTTGTTTACGAATGAGACATGAGGAAAACTGAACACATTCACTAAAAGAGTGCGGAACTAGCTACATATTAAATTTGACACATGGAAGTTTTCTCTGACAGAAAACTGCAAAAAGACCCAAAAGAAACAAATTACACTTTTTATATAAAAAGAGGAGAATTTCAGATTTTGCAATTAATCAAACGCACCTAATATGTCCTCTCACTAAAAAATTCTGTTATTCTACCATGAAAAAATCGAAATATGGGCCAAGCTCCGAAATGTTTTTCTAGCCACTATATAAAAAATTCGTAGTTCTTTAAATTTCTGTTTCTTTAAATAGTTATTACTTTTCTTATTAAATACATTTTGGGGATATTGTGATATACAGTTTCTTACTCAGTGGCAACGCGAAATGTCAACACCATAGTTGGCAACTTAGTAGATAAGACATGGTTTCCTTCATTCTCCCTTATTCGCAGATGTCTTTCCTTCATTCTATCATTTTGCGACATAAGTATGAACCAATGTTGCCAACTAAAGTGTAATTACACATATTGTGTGCAATTTGCATGGCATGTGTAATACATGTGTAATTTGTAGTTTTACTATTTTTGACACTTTTTTAAAATCCTTCCTTCCCAAATGCTACTGCAAAAAGAATATTTAGCTGATGATTTTTGGAAAGGCAGGAGTGAGTATGATTCTCATTTACTGGAGAATGTTCGACACTTAAAATGTTTGCTTTTCACCAAAAACGTTACACCAAAAATCTAAAAAAGCCAAGTGATAATTCTCTTCGCCGGAATTAATTCATGATATTGGTAGCGATCAGCAAATATTGCAAAGCTGTCAATTTCAGTTTGAAAAACACTACTCTCTTTAATCGAGAGTCATATGGAGATAATAAGTCCATACGATCAATACTCCAGACTTAAGTAATCGGTTATTTAGCACTTTAAATAATTGTAAAACAAATTTCAGAAACACGCACAAATATCAATATGCAAAAAATCATTTTTTCCACTCACATATATGCTCTATTCCAGAACTGCAAGAATGTAAAACTTTTTAATACGATAACCGATTTTTACTTTATGACATCGAAAAAAATGTAAAACTAGTAGATTTTTGCAGGTTCAGGAACAGAGTAATAATATCGTTAATAAACTTAATTAGTCGGAAAGTTTGCGACGAAAATACAGTACAGCATCAGCGCTTGAGATGTCAAAAAATTGACAATGTTATTTCAAAAATAAGTAGATTTGTATATGTTTTTTTATACGACGCCAATCGGAGGTTGTTATGACATGCATTTCAATTTTTACAAATTTCAATAATTTTTCATAATAATTTTTCAATAATTTCCAATTTCAAAATCGGGTTAACAGTTCATTGTCCCAGCAACTGTTTCGATGCGACTACCTGTATTCTTCTACCATGCGTTGGACCTAGGAACAGTGTTTTAAACTTCTGCTCTGTTCCAGAACTACAAGAATGTAAAACTTTTTGCTACAATAATCGATTTTTCCTTAAAAAATAAAAACTAGTAGATTTTTGCAGGTTCAGGAACAGTACATACCATGGTAGAAGAATATAGGTAGACGCGTCGACACAGCTGCTGGGACAATGAACTGTCAAACCAATTTTGGAATTGAAAATGTTGAATGAAAAATTATTTAAATTTGTAAAAATTGTTGAAAAACGCGAATTATAATAGCCTCCGAATGACGTAGTATAATAAAACATAAAAAAATCTACTTATATTTGAAAAAACATTTAAATTTTTTTGACATATCAATGTTCCCAAGCGTTGATGCATCTACCTGTATTCTTCTGCCATGGTACATACCCAACATACCATAAGAACAATACATCTTGAGAATATTATAAAAATAGTTTGTCATAAGAATTTTTCAACAATGCTTTGAGAAACACTTATTTTGCTGAAACTCATCTCAAATCTGTCCTTTGTTGATAAATTTGTTTTGATTTTTTTGTGAAAATTGTTTTCTTTGGTAAAAAGCGAAACCACGCGAATTTAGAACCCTTTTCCGCACCGAAGTCTTATGCAAACCACACACGATACAACCGTTGGTACAACTTGAAGGGTAGTCAAGCTGCGTAACACAACCGATACAACTTCTTCTTAATTCTACCATGGATACAATCATGAATACAACCTCTCTAGGTTGTACAACCAGTTGTATCGTGTGTGGCTTGCATTAAGGTAATTATGAATAATAAATCTGGGAATCTGTGGTATATATTATTTAAATCTCAATTAAGACTGGAGGTATCAAAAAAGTTGCTGGAATTCAATAGAAGTGTAGACTTAGTGGAAGAGATGCAGAAGCTCAAATAAGCGAAAAAAACGGCAGGGTATCAAAACCACAGGAAGCAGTAACACCTGAAATGTCCAGCGAAGAAAAAAATATTATTACAACATATAATATAATATTTCTTTCGTAAGCTTATTCTACAATTATAAGCTTAAAATTACGGGTTCAATTTCGATTATTCTATATTTGTTACACAACCATTTTTCAATATTTTATCAAGCTTAAGGCTTATGTTCATAAGCTTATTGTAATATTATTCTCAAGCCATTTAGGTATGTTGGCTATTGTTTCAGAAAATTTTAATTTAAACTGACAACCATTACCCTATCATTCCGTTTCTAAATGTATATATAGCATTCTCAGATTAAATTAAACCTTTTGCAGCGGAAATGAAACCTTTTGAAGTGGAAATGAAACCTTTTGCAACCGAAATGAAACTATTTGCAAATCAAATGAAACTTTGAGATTTATAGAAGGAAAAATTACAAAACATTTTTATTTTTAGTAGGTTTCAAATTAAATCAACTATTTATAACTAATATATAGTTAAAGAGAACTTTTTATTGTATATTAATGTCTATGTTTTTATAAAATTATTTCTTAAATTGTTAGCTTCCTTAAAACGTAAGTATGGATGCAGAAAGATTAAAAAAGTTTTTCAAGGTCTTTTCTCAAAAAAACCTGAATTAGATACCTTTTTATAACCTCCTCCATAGAAACACCTCTAAATGTTCGACGTAGACCCCATAAAGCAGATACAATCATGATCAAAGTTAGTTTAATGATGTCCACCTGTCTGTCTATTGAAATCACGATATTGAGATGAAATTTGATGAAGAGCTTTGAAAATTGGCACAACATTGTATTGTTTCTAGGATGTTTGGTATTGAATATGATACCGGGATGTTTCAATAAGGCATTACATTGTGTACGCGATAGAGCGAACTATTCAAATAGTAGGACTGCTTTATTTCCATAATTAATAAAGCAGTCCTGCCCATACTTATGAAGGCTAAAATTTATTTAAATTTATCTTTTTAGCGTTAATAATATAAAAATGTAGATATTAATAATCAATAAAAATTTCTCTTTAACTATATATTAGTCATAAATAGTTGATTTAATTTTAAACCTACTTAAAATAAAAATGTTTTGTTACTTTTCCTTCTGTAAATCTAAAAGTTTCATTTGATTTGCAACAAGCTTCATTTCAGTTGCAAAAAGTTTCACTTCAAATACAAAAGGTTTCATTTCCACTGCAAAAGGTTTCATTTCCGCTGCAAAAAGTTGCGTTTCAATTGCAAATGGTTTCATTTAATCTGAAAATGCTATATTAGCTCTGTTCTAGAATTATAATAATAATCGTTTTTTCATTTATGATATCGAAGGGAATCGCAAAACTTGTAGATTCTGGCAGATACTGGAATAGAGCAAAAATAATTTTAAAATTTTCAAATTCTGAAATCTACTAGTTTTGTTAAAATCATATTTCATACTTCTTTCTTGTGTAAGGTGGATATCTGAAAAATTACATTTGTTATATATAGTCTGCCATTTTCACACCACTTTTATACCCTACACCACATAGTGGTAAGGGTATTATGTCTTTGTGCATTTGTTTGTAACATGGAGAAGGAAGGGAGATAGACCCATAGTTACTTTTCAGGATCTCCATAGAATCACTTTCTGAGTTGATTTATGCATGTCAGTCCGTCCGTCCGTCTGTCCGTCTGTCCATGTATTCTTGTGAACAAAATGCAGGTCGCATTTATTATCCGATTGAGATGAAATTTTCCAAACAACATTTGTTTGGCCCAAGGACGAACCCTATTGAAATTGGATATAGCTCCCATATATATTTTCGTCCGATTTGCCTTTTATTTTGCACCAAACGTGTAATATCAGCACGAATAGTACGGAATTTTGCACATACCACCAAATTAGGCCTGACAATAAGTATGCCAAATTTGATCGAAATCGGTTCAGATATAGCTATAGCTCCCATAATATTGTTCATCCGATTTTTGATTTTTGTCCTCCGCAGCCGTAATATGCACTCTGTAACAACATTATTTGTAACATTATCTGTAACAACACATATAACTTCGTCCGATTTACTTTTATTGTACACCAAACGTCTAATATTTGCCCAAATTGGATGGAATTTGGCACCGAATTGAGTCTAGAAGCTAGTATGCCAAATTTGGTGAAGATCGGTTCAGATATAGCTATAGCTCCCATAAATATTGTTCATCCGATTTGTTGTATTTATTACCCACACCCGTAATATGCACTCCGTAACAACGATATTCAGGGAAATATATCAAATACAGCTCAGAAATATCTTTGCCAAATTTTATCGACATCTGTTCAGATTTGGATATAGCTCCCATATATATTGTTCATCCGATTTTGTTGTATTTGTTACCCACATCCGTAATATGCACTCCGTAACAACGATATTCAGGGAAATATATTAAATACAGCTCAAAAATATCTTTTCCAAATTTTATCGAGATCTGTTTAGATTTGGATATAGCTCCCATATATATCTTTATCTGATTTCAAATTAATTTTGCACCAAATGGGCAATACAGG